CATATTCAGATGGATCAGGATCGTACATGGCGAGATGATGCTAATAGCGCTTCCAGGATCTTAATTCAGTCATTGGTCACTTTAGGGGTTATTTACTATCTATTTGTATTCTCTCTTCTAGACTGACAGCCTCGCAGCTGTCGCCAGTATGAAGTCATGAGTGAGAGGTGGCCCACTAGGTGACCCATCATATGCATTCACTTGGTGCATAGCTTGATGCTCACGGCTGTTCGCCTATCTCTCACCACCCCTATGCCCTCAGCCTCCTCACCCTCAAAGTTAGTGTAGCGAAGTATCAGCCCCGAGGTTATCCACCCTTCTTGTGTTTAATGTGTGCTCACATATTTTCTCCACCATCGCCTGGCTAGTTTTTTGTATTTTTTAGTAGAGACGGGGTTTCATCGAATTAGCCAGGATGGTCTCAATCTCCTGACCTTGTGATCCGCCCGTCTCGGCCTCCCAAAGTGCTGGGATTACAGGCTTGAGCCACCGCGCCCGGCCTACTGTATGGTTTTGATATCATGATGGCCTGATATGTAATCCCAGTACTTTGAGAGAGCAGCCTAGGCAACATAGTGAGACCTCGTCTCTACCAAAAACAAGCAAACAAAAAAATTGCTTTAATTTTTTTTAATTAGCTGGAAAAATTAGCATAATATTTGGATTATCCCCTTCCTGCAATTTATGGTAGAACTTGCCTGAAAAAAACACACCTAGACCCGATTTTTCGGTGGTACCTTGTTTGTTTGTTTTTAAGAGATGGGTTAGAGACCAGACTTACCATGTTGCCCAAGCTAGACTCAACCTTCTGAGCTTAAAAAATCCTCCCATCTTAGCCTCGGGAATAGCTGGGACTATAGGCGTACACCACCATGCTGGCTTCTATGGCACTGTTTCAATTTCTTCGATAGTTATACGGCCAGATGGGTTCTCTATTTCTTCCTGAGCCAATTTAGTATTTTTTTCTTTTCTTTCTTTCTTTTCTTTTCTTTTTTTTTTTTTTTCGGTTCAGTGAGATTAAACCATCCTGGCTAACATGGTGAAACCCCATCTCTACTAGAAAAAATACAAAAATAGCTGGGCGAGGTGGGCGGGCGCTGTAGTCCCAGCTACTCGGGAGGCTGTGGGCAGGAAATGGCGTCAACCCGGGAGGCGGAGCTGGCAGTGAGCTGAGATCTGGCCACTGCACTCCACGCCTGGGCAACAGGTGAGACTTGTCCTAACAAAAAAAAAAGAAAAAGTACCACAAATAATTGGCTTTAATCAACAAAAACAAAAAACAAAGAGATATAGCACAAATAGAATGATTATTAAGGGAATAAAAAAGCGGACAAGTCCACAATGCTGCCAGAAGTTCAGCTTTGATGAGATAAGAGGATATTTTATAATGAGATTAAGAACACCTATATTATATTTTATTTATACAATTATATAGTGGTAAACACATTCCTTAAGAAAAATACAAAAGATCAGAAAACAAGCACACGGGCAGGCGTCAGGCACTGTAAACCCAAAACTAATTGGAGCTGAAAGCAAAAAGGGTCCACCCGTAGTCAGAAGTTAGAACAGAACCATAGGCAAAAAACACAAAAAAAAAACAAAAGGAGACCCTCCAATCTACAAAAAATTGAGTAGCGATGTGCACCTTGGCCCCACACTAAGCTCAGAAGGGGAGAACAAAGAAAAAACACACATGACTCAACAGGAAGGTTGACAAACCCATGATTAGCACCACAGCACTACCAGCCTGGCACAAATCCCTGTCTACATACAAGGCCAACCAGAGAGACACAAGTCTGT